CCTTTTGGCTTTCAAGGCGGGCGGCATGTTCGCGCCTCCCAACGTTGCCACATTGGGGCGCTTGGCGGATTTAAGAAATTTTTGAAAGACGTGAAGTTACAAGTGAAATTTTGAACACATGTAACAAATAATCACTAAAATATTGTAATACGAAAAATTTGTAAAACAACCAAAATAAAAAAAAAAGCAAATAAAAAACCCTCAGGGGGTTTTATAACCCAAAATACATCCTGAGTTAGTTGGAAACATTTGAAAATCGATGATTTATATTTAAAAAAATCGCTACTTTACTGCTCTATCCATCGATGGAAACAAGAAGTCTGTCGCTCTATTGGTTTGCTACGAGTTATTGTTTTCCGTTATTCTTTTTTAATTATTTTGTTTCAAAGGTGTAATTATTGTGTACCTTATGTGACGATATGGTACCAAAAACGATAGAAACAATTTTAACTCCTTGTGACATTTTCTATTTAATTAATAACTTAACCCACAATAATTCTAAATTTAACTCTCAATAATTTAACACGATTCGAATTTATTATTCAATGGAAAATTTAGTGTATGGTATTTCAACAACGTGAAGAGTAATAAAATATATTAATAAGGTACTAAGCGCTTGAATGAATAGAAGTATCAGTAGAAGTTTTCTTCTTTTAGAAGATATGGTTGAAATTTCAAATATTTGATATTTTTAACGTGTTTGTTACTTTGAATTTACTGCGAAATTCAAGTACTACACGTTCTCTAGGTACGAACCTAAAGCTACGAGCGGTTTTTAAACAATTGACCATTTTTGCACTCTCACATTTGCTGAGATATTTAGGAAGGTTTGAAGGTCGAAGTTTTATATTAACAAAAATCTCTACTTTAGCCCTCTTGAGAGGATTATTGACTAAAGAAAAATGTTTATTGGGTCTTGTAACAGCATCAAAGTAAACTCTTACCGAATCAGTAGATCAATGCTTTACTTCGACTAGCTTAGTCTATAAATTAAAGTCTTTGGTCGTAACGATCTCTACCTATTTTATTTACACATCATGTGAAAATCTATCAACATTCGTATCGTTAATATGCAATTTCCTAAAACTGAACCTGAACTTGTGTTCCCTGCTTCAAGTATATGTAAATCCGGCCCCTCAGGCGCTTCAAAAATCTGCAGAAATCAGGTATATTGAAAATAAACGACAATTAAGGCGTGTAAACAAAACAACAAGTAGGTACATCAGCTCAACTTACTCAACCTTGCCTAATCGTCTTCTATTTTGAACTTAGATGTGTTTTAATAGTCGGCACAATTAAATGGCGAAAGTACTTCTCTCACTGCTTTAAAAACCGCACACAAACGGTTAAAATCACAGAGTTAAAATAAAGTTGACTTTCCTCGCCTTCTTGTCGGTTAAATTAAAGCCAACTGGCAATTTGGATCCTCAATTTATCAGCGAACGCCAGCAAGACTTGCAAGTATTCATTTGAAACATTCCCGTCGCCCATGAATAAATTTAAGTATTTTTGACAGAAATATCTAAATCTTTCTTACGAAGCAAGCATTTACGTCTAATTTGATTCGGCACATGGAATGGGCACGGCAACATCCCACAATATCAATAAATTCTGACAATTTTCGCGAAGAGTAGCGAAGTAATATTTTTATACCTAATTTCCCTCGAATGAAGTTTTTTTCCAGGATGTTTTTCGAACTTTTAGAGTAGGTACATGGGTTTACAAAATGTGTAGCCAGTTGCTAGTTGCAGAGGCTGTTACTTTTTAGTGTCCTTAAAATCACTTGTACTTTAAGTGTAAAATATTATTTGTTGTATACCTAAATATGGTTATTTATTTTAAAAAAATATGAATTACAAATGTTTTAAAATTGTTTCTGCAAGTGACGCACAATTGCCTATCACCTTATGACGCTGCTATATCGCGAAAACGGCAACCACAAGTAGAATCACATTCACAGCTTAAATTCACAGTTAAAAAAATTACATTCGCAGTTATAACAGTGATTTTAAAATTACGGTTTAGCTCATCTCTAATAAAGCTTTGAGTTTCGCTGGGAAGTTGTGCGTCCTTTGGTGGAAATTGGCTGGAGACTTTGCAAGCACTTCTAAACGATCAAGCGCAAATCCAAAGTCAAAGACGATCTGATAGGGAGGTGGACGGATTATGTTCCGGATAAGTACTTGGACGATAAGGACATGCATTCAGTGTTCAAAAGATTGCATCAAATCAAGCACAGCATACACAAATGGTCCGTGGGACGTTCTATTTTGATCCCCGTTATCCCGCATGGGATGATCCTTGGTAGGATGTCCCTAGGCCGTCCCTCGTATCGCACAAATTATCTTATGCAAATCCCATGCGAGTCGTCCCAGAAACGTTATATTTTTTGCTCCCAGGGACATCATGAACAGGACGTATATGTAGTAATAGTAAATGGCACGCTCGAAAAAAAAGTTACACACTTTATTACACACTTAATAAAGTTAATAAACCATCAAAACCGAAATATGAAAAATGGAATTCAATCAACTTCGATAACCGATATATACGTATAATAATAATAAATATTCGAGAACCTATATCAATATAATATCCAGGATGTTCCGTAAATATGTTAACACATTTTAATAGCGTGTTCTTCCAGTCATTTTAGAGCGGGATCTTCCTGATATTTTTTTAAATTCAGGTTTTGTTGTTGAAATATTTGAGTAGTTTTTGTTGTTTTTTTTTAAACGGTTAAACATAGAAGATTAAACATAGATTTGATATATATTATAAGCTAATTGAGTGCCATGTTTTGATAGTGTTTTGTGGTTTAGTTTGCTTTTATACAGGGTAGAAATGTGGAACACCTACTTTTGTTTGGTTCAGAACTTTTTTGTGTGAACTTAAACTTTTCTCGACATAAATTTGTTAATTTGCAGTGAGAGCCTCGAAGGGAAAAGCTAAATTTCTACAGAGGAAAGCAGCATCGACATTTGAAAAAGCCGAAAGACACCCCTATGATGAACTACGAAGAGCTGTAGACTATGCACCAGTAGATGATGCGCTCCGGAAGAAGAGGCCCAGACATCAGAAGGACCAACAGGGCAGTAGGCAAAGCTGCAAAGTGTTGTAAGTGTAAAACCTAGTGTTAATGTAGTGAGATCAAAGGAGTGCGTGTGTAGGTAAAATTAGTAAGATGCCCATACGAGCAGGTTGTCAGTATAGAGAGACTGTGGTGTGAGGGCATACGGATATCGGAGCTGAACTTGGCGGTTTTTTAGTTGGTAGAAATCCAACACTACCTGGTGTCGCTGGACACCAGGTGTCTTCGAGAAGATTTTTTATACCCCAGCCGCCGGCGGGCAAACAAAAAAAAAGTTGTAATTACATAGTTAATCAATGACGGCACAAATTTGAGTGTACAGTTGGCAACACATAAAAGTACATGACTAATAAAGGAGATTTACTCCGATTTTGATAAAGCAGGCTTTGTGAATTATATCAAATATATGAATGTCACAAACTTGTTTTCATATTTCACAAGTTAATTAATTTCTTTGCAATTTTATAAATCGTACTCTTCTGTTTTCCAAATCGCCCAGCTACTGTTCTTCTTGACCGACTTTAATTTGTTTACTCGCAAACGGGACGTTGTAGAAAATCAAGAGACCTTTTCTCTTCCCAACTGAACAGGAACTTGACAAATATTATTTATTTTTAGAAAAATCAGTGGCGGAACATTTTTCCATTTAAAATTATCTACAGACGTGCCTGTACGCACGCCACTGAAAAAGACAAATAACATTTTCATTGCAAAACGTGTATTGCTCTTAGTTGCCTAAGCCTGTTATATTAATACACGAAAGATATATACAAAACATAGAAGAAATAGACTATGTGAATGATAGAATATTAAAAGTAACGCTGAGGACTGGGCGAACTGCTATACACCTAGTAAGCACGTACGCCCCAGATATGTCTAAACCAACAGAAGAGTCAGAGATCTTCTATAAAAAACTTCAGAACACTGTTAATAAAATAAACAATGGGCATAAAATTGTCATTCTCGGGGACCTTAACGCCCGCATAGGAAATGAGAAGATGCGAGGTGTAAAGCAAAGATTCAACGAGGCAGTAATTAACAAAAACGGCGAACTCCTGATTGACTTCTGCGCAAGAAATGAAATGAGAATAAATAATACTTTTTTCTCACACCAGAACCAGCATAAATACACATTTAATAACACCAGAGGCCAACGATCAACGATTGATTTCATAATTACGAATAGAGTCATCACACCATCACAAGTTCTTGACGTCAGAGCATTAACATCAGCCAATATAGGAACAGATCACAACCTAATTTTATTCAAGATTCTGCTGGAACGCCCTCAAACTGCCAGAGTACATAGAAAAAGTACGCGAACACTCTTTGAAAGTAGACCAACTAACAAATTAGAAAGGTGTAACATTGCACCCAATTGGGATATCGAAGGTCACTGGCTGAAAATCGAGAACTTCATAGAACAGGCCGCCGAGGAAGCCATAGGAAAACGGAAGATAAACATAAACGCAAATAACCGCACTAAGCCATGGTTCTGCCAGGAGGTGAAACAACTCGCAGACATCAAAAGAAGCAGCTATCTGAAGTACAAGAGTAGAAACAGAGTAAACTCAAAAATAAAAGAAATTAAACGAGAATATTGGATTAAGTTTACTGCCGACATGGAATACGATATGTATGGCGCACAGAGAAATGTATGGAAACTGCTCAAAAACAGGAAAAAGCCAGTGTATGAGTATGCACAAACCAAAGAAATGTCTATGGAAACCTGGGAGGCATACTTCAGACAGCTTTACAAATTTGAAGAAACAGTAAATTTTGAAGCACACGAAACTGTATCTAACGCTACGATCGACGAAACGGAAATAGTACTTAGATTGAAGAAACTGAAATACAAGAAAGCTGCGGGACCAGACAATACACCTAACGAGCTTCTAAAATATGGCGGACAAGAACTTACGAGACAACTATGCTTATTGTTTAACAATATTCTGCGCACAGCACAAATATTGAAGAACAAGCTAGAAGAACACATAGAAAAAAGCGAAGAACAACAAGGGTTTAGGAGGAACAGATCAACAACAGACGCTATATTTATTGTCAAACAAATAAAGGAAAAGGCTATAGAATTCAACACACCGGCTTGCTATCGAACACAAAATCATAGAACAAGTATTACAATTTAAATACCTTGGCGTAGACCTGTCAAGTAGTCATGACCCAGTCAAGGACCTAAGAAGCCAAATCAATAAAGCTGTGGCAGTATCAGGATGCCTTAGGGAAATCGCATGGGCAATCAATACATGCGAACAGAGAGCAAAGTAAAAACATACAAAACATGCGTGAGACCCATTATGACATACCGGATAGAGATGCGAGAGGAAACAAATAAAACAAAGTGCATGCTGCGAGTAGTAGAGATGATGACTCTAAGAACGATCGTGGGAAAAACCAGAAGAGACAGGGTGAGAAACACGGATATCCGGGAACAGTGTGGAGTGCAGGACGTGGTGCGATGGGGAAGACAAAGAAAGAGACAGTGGTGCAGTCACGTAAAGAGGATGGACAAAAACAGTCTACCGCGTATCGTGTTGGAGGGAAAACCAGTAGGTACTAGACCAGCGGGAAGACCACCTAAAAGATGGAAGGATAGCAGGCAGTCAACATCCCAGGAAATACTGCAGAGGCGTGCTCAGAATTAACAGATCGCAAGATCTCGCAAAAGAAGAAGAAGAATATAATATTGTTAACAATAACGTTCATATTTAATCTGATGACATGATCTCTATAAGACATTCCCCCAACCTGGAGCACCAGGTATGTTTTGATCTGGGTTTTCTTCCCCTAGCCTTTGACCATTCTAACGTCGTAACTACAATGTGTCAGCTTCTTCAGCTCTGATCCTCGACAGAAGCCCTTCCAGGGTACTATCATCTGGGCCAGATGAACCTTGTTTTTTACCGAGGTTGTTACTCCTTTAAAATAAGTAACACAGTAGATACAGGGTGATTGTGACTGTGACTTACTTTGAATTTCCTTTGACGAATTTGCTGATATGCGATTAGTTCAGGGGAAATCCTACAGTAACATAGCAGAAGCTGAAAGAACTCACGCCAACAAAGGGCGAGGAGAGTGGTTCCAGGAAGATAGTGGACGACAATCGATGTTCGGGTTCCAGACACAGAGGAACAAGTATTGGGCATAATCGAATCAGGGCCTTCTAGGGGTACTCAGAGCACAATAACTGACACTTTCCCAAGCACCAAGTAAATACCGAGGAAAGTCGTTTGTACGATACACACAGCACAAGGAGATACAAATGGAGCACAAGGGGATACAAATGGAGCACGAGTTAATTAACTGAATACGAAAAGCTGCTTGATACGAGGGTAATAAGGAGATTACACAGGCACTAGCTTGTTTGGAGTTAACCATTTAAATGTTTGGTGTTGTATGGATTATTTATGTAAACACAAAATCCCGCAGAATTCGAGGTTATGAGAACAGGTTAACATTTCGTCAACAAATCTTGTTGAATTTACCGTTTATCCTTGTCTATCTTATTGTCAGTCTGTATAATATAAAACATAACAATGCTATGAATTTCAGATCGGATACCGACAATCTTAGCTCAGTATATCATACATTAATTAAAGGAAATAAACATAGAATATTAACTAACACCCGGTATATTGAAGAATTTTGCAAACCAAAAATAATATTCCTAGAATGCAAAGAAAAATACCTGAAAGTAAAAGAAATCAATATAAACAATATTTCGCTTTGTGTGCAAAATGGACAAAATTAATAGTCCAAATATATGCCAAGGCTTAAAGTAGCAACAAGGCTACACATGTAAGTAAAAATAATTGAGTATTTGAACAAAGAATTCTAGTCTCTTCCCAGAATTGATTGTCCTGACTGATCACCTGTTAGGCCTAATTAATCTCAGAATGTTTTAAAGTGTTGCAATTGTAATGTATTTTAGTGTGTGATATAACAAGCTGTTGACAAACTGTGATTGTTTTTTAGATTAATGAAAACATTCATTTTTTTTTACTACCTGTTATTTTAGTGAAACTGATGATGGTGGAAAACACCGAAAGGTTTTTTAATTGATAAATAGACAATAAATGACTGAAGCCCAGGAATTGATTTTGATTTGGAATTGAAACACAGTCAGGAAAGTATGTACAATGAAGTCTGTATAATTCCATGGTTACCGGAGTTTTAAATAATTACAAAGCAACAGGTATTTGCGCAATGTTAATTAGGCAGATTACCTTGAAAAACATTGCAGCCGTATTKCTGATATAGTTTTTTGSAAATTTCTCAGTTTTTAATAACAATTAATTTCGTTYACTATTTTTTCTGTACTCCTATAACAGCGCCAAACAACCCCTCCAGAGGAATGACGCCAATTTTGAATCACCCTGTATATTTAAAATAAGTAGCATATAGAAATGCGCTCTAAGAACCAGCTTTTGGAGCATTTCAAGTCTCAAGATGGTTTAGCAAAAAATATAGGCATGTTTCAACTAATACTGAAGTTTGTATCTGCTGCAAATAATGCATGTTCAGAGTTCTCCGACTACTGCTTCTGACTGAACTGATTAACGCACGCGTTATGTTCCAGCTAACAACAGAAAATATGAAGGAACGACTCCGAAGTGCATGTTAAGAAATAACACCTCTAATGTTGTACAATGTAATAGAACTTTTCGAAAAATAAATTTAATTGTGACTTAATAGAATAATAATTATTAAATTATTAGAATAATTGAGATAGGCTCGGGTTACTCAGTGAATTTTTAGGAGTTGGCGCGGTGCTGCCTAAATGGCTTGGTTCTCCTACCCAAAGCACAGGCGCAGTAACTCGGTTCCATTGCTGGAAAAATATTGGTGACATTTTTTTTTGTTGTTTTTAGATTTATATTAACATCACTATTTTAATTTTTTTAATTCTGACAATTTTAAGGTATTTTCTGCCAAAAATTTTAAAATAAATTTTATTAAAACATTCGCCTCCTTTGCTCCGCTTTCTAAAGGGTTCCCAGCTTCAAGAATTTGGGACAAAAATCAAAAATTGTTTATCAAAAAACAAACAGAACAAGCCAAAATTTATAATCAATTATTTGGAAAATTGGTCTCCTTTGTCGTGTGAAGACCGTAAGGTTTGTTAAAAAAAACTATAAAAAACGCTGTGGTTTGAAGAGTTTTACCTAAAAATTTGGAAGTCAACAGTCAGTACAACACAATCTGGAAGTATTTTACGCGAAAACTTACAAGACAAATCTATAGTTTTGTAAGAATTTTACAAATACTTTGTTCAGTGTCAATTTCGGGACAAAAATTAAAATAATTTCTTTCGTTCTTTCCCGAAAATCATTCAGATTTTCTCAGAAACCGATTACAAAACTAAATTATTTTCGGATGCTTTTCTTCTTGACAATCATGGGGTCTTTTCAGCTAAAAAAAAAAATTTTGTTATAAAAATCGCCCCATTCATCGCTTTGCAGGGAATGACCGAAAATCTTTTTCAGCTTCGAATCTGTCACACGAACCAGATAACTTTATTTAGGTTTTTTACCGAAAGTTATTAAGACTGATAAAACGACCGGAGAGCAAAAGTTTGCTCAAAATTGTTTGGAAAATTCGACGCTCTGAACAATTTTTAAA